GTTTCTGGTTTCAAGAACGGCCTTGACCCAGCAAGACGCTATCGTGTAGTAACGGAGTGCGTGTCCTTCTTCATGGGTAGCTTAAAGGAGATTTGTGACGGTTTACCAGTGAACCCACCACCCAGGGTGAGACCACGGGACGAGACAGTGCCGCACGCACCTGTTAGGACGCCTAACTTAACGCAAGATGAACAGAGGGTGAGGATCCAACACGACTTGTTTTGAAAACCCCGCCTTCTTCAGTGAACTGTGAAGTCTTATTTTTGCCAAGTGCCAACATTACATATCTTACTGGGTACCTCAGTCACTGAGACTAAAATATTGGTATTGTAGAGAAAAGTTTGGGAGCCTAGTTCATAATATCAAGTAATTTTTGCAGATATTTTGGGCCTTATGACATAATGTATGATTCATATTACAAGTACTAGTACCGTAAGTACCAGTGGCAGTGTACCAATGTATTTGGAAATTGTAATTATTAAAACATTTAATTTTTCCAGTAACTGGTATCATGCAGGAATTCAAACCATGGTGATTTAGTATCTGTTGATTGTTCTCTGAACCTGTAGTAGGAATGTTAGAATCAAATTCACAGTCCATACATCTTCCCATTTTAGCTCATATTCACAGTGCATACAGTATACATTGTACATCTTCCCATTTTAGCTCATATTCACAGTGCATACAGTATACATTGTACATCTTCCCATTTTAGCTCATATTCACAGTGCATACAGTATACATTGTACATCTTCCCATTTTAGCTTGCCCTACAGAATGCTTTGCGCTACTTCCCTCCAGAGCTGCATGCCACACTGGCGCCAGAGTTTGCCCAGGAACTGAGAGACTATGGACACATCTATATGTACCGCTTCCGGCCAGATATAGAAATGAGGTACAATTACAACTTTCATTGTAAGTCAGGCAGCACATTTGAATAATATCTACACCAGATGGCACAAAACTTTATATTTAAAATTAGTCTTTACTTTAAAAATTTGCAAAGGCTCGATTTGGTTTTTAAGACAAATTAGGGGCCATATTAACATATTTTCTTTTACCATACCAAGTGATTAGAGAAAAACAAACACAGCATTAAAATTCTGCTGACCTATTATATTACCAGGGCATATCCTATAGATGAATACCCTGCACGCTCGCGCCAGGCTGCTGCCATCATGCACATGATCATGAACAACCTTGACCCTCGCGTGGCGCAGTTCCCGCACGAGTTGGTGACCTACGGTGGCAACGGACAGGTGTTCTCCAACTGGGCACAGGTAATGTTGATGATAAATAAAAATAAATAAAAAATAACACTGAAAACTAATTGATGATGTATCTGGCTCATGTGGTGGCCATGGAGATCCAAAATGGCAATGAGCTGACGAGGTTAACTTAATAGAATAATTGACCACACTACCTTAAGACTAATCAGTGAGGATCAGGATTTGTGATTATGTAACAATGCTAATATTTTTGCTTGCAAATGTCAACTGTTGATATTATATAAGAAAGTATTTGATTGTTGTGTAATGAAGATTGAGCTGAATCATGGCAACATCCTTGGTAAAGCTTCTACATTTTTCATCTTTTCCCCCCCCCCAGTTCCTGCTGGTGATGCACTACCTGTCCATCATGAGAGATGACCAGACGCTTGTCATGTGCTCAGGCCACCCCCAGGGGTTGTTCCCCAGCCACACTTCGGCCCCCAGGGTGGTCATAACTAACGGAATGGTGAGGGATGACTTCAGCAAATGCATTCAGTTGAAAGGGGACATGTGTGTGGTTGCGTGCATGCATGTGTGTGTGTGTGTGTGTGTGTGAGTATGTTTGTGCGTGTATATGTGTGAGTGTGTGTGTGTGAGTGTGAGTGTTTGCGTGCATGCGTGTGTGATAACTAGTGTTTCTGTGATGTTTTATAATCCTCAACATCTTTTCCATTATTAAAAATGTAGGGTATTTGAAAGAAAAGAGCCAGTAATTGTAAAATAATTACTTTTTTTCTCTAATGTGGTATGTCACTATTTGCAGATGGTTCCTAATTACTCGTCCAGAGAGATGTATGAGAAATTGTTTGCCTTGGGTGTCACCATGTAAGTTTTGAAGAAGATATGGTATGTAATGACAGCCATGACATATCACAACGTCAATTATGTTAACTGCATGTTACAAGGCCAGGATACAAACCGCCATGCAAACCACCATCCAAGTGCCAAGACGGTTAAAGAAAAAATTTTGTAGGAGGAGAAAATTACTTTTTTTGTCTGATGAAAATTAATATTTAGTGTAAATGTTATGTAGATCACTTCTAAGAATTTATCCTTATTAAATGTACCATTGTAAATAAGCTGACATATGTATTAAATGTGTTAAAATGCTATTGTTATACCAGGTATGGTCAGATGACAGCAGGCAGTTATTGTTATGGTAATGTTATTGTTGTTATTGTTATACCAGGTATGGTCAGATGACAGCAGGCAGTTATTGTTATGGTAATGTTATTGTTGTTATTGTTATACCAGGTATGGTCAGATGACGGCAGGCAGTTATTGTTACATAGGACCCCAAGGCATTGTACATGGGACAACCGTGAGTACTGATATGGTTCAGAAATTTATATTATTCTAAGACAAAAATTTCAAACCAACTGTATAACAAACTTTTAAGAAGGTCATGGGTCTACCTGAGTTTTCCATTTGTCTAACTGTTACTAAAGCTATTTTTCAATATTGACGACAAAGAGGGCAAATTTAGCTGCAAATAGGTAAAAAATAATATAAATAATTTAAATTGTTCATAAGTTTTTGGAAAACTAAAAACCATCTGCATTCAGTCGAATCACACATTTATTGAATTGATGATGACACAAAAATTTTGTATTCAGATGTATATTTCTCATGTTATGACATACTATTTTTCTGTTTGAAGTATGCAAGAGATAAATAAATCCCAAAATAGTCCCTTGAGCAGAAGTCTTCTTACAGTTAACAGTACTGAATGCTGGTCGCCGCCATATTGGCAGCAGTGATTTGGGAGGACGCGTCTTTGTAACGTCTGGACTGGGAGGAATGAGTGGAGCGCAGCCCAAGGCAGCCGTCATCTGTGGGTGTGTGGGAGTCATCGCTGAGGTAGATATCAATAAAATATTATAGTATTGTCATATAATCTGTATTCTGGTATTTCTAAGACTGTGTCTGTGTGTGGGTGTTATTGCTGAATTAAATATAACAAGATTTTATATTAATGTCATGTAATCTGTATTCTGGTATTTCTAAGACTGTGATATATTGTTGTGTGGGTGTCATTGCTGAGGTAGTTATCAACATGTTATGTTTATTGTCATGTAATCTATATTCTGTTATTTTAAGGACATGTAGCTATATGTTTCTGTTAGGGTGTCATTGCTAAGTAGATACCAACAAGATTTTATTTCCTTGTCATGTTATTGATTCTGTTATTCTAAAGAGTGTGATACGTGGGGGTGTGTGAGTAGCTTGCAAAGGAAGTTATCAGCCATCTTGAAGATGGAACTTATATCATTGTCATATAATCTTTTTCTTAATGAAAAGTGATACTTCCAAGCAGAAAGTGAACTGTTTATATATATAATTTATGATGTTGTTTATCAGGTAAGTGAGGAGGCCCTGCGTAAGCGCTACGACCAGGGATGGCTCATGGAGATCGCGGACGGTTTAGAGGACTGCATCCGCAAAATACGCCATGCAAGGCAAGACCAACTGGCAGTCAGTATTGGTTACCATGGAAACATTGTAGACTTGTGGTAAGCATGTACATTTTTTATGATAGTCAATAGACAATAAGTGGATTACCGCATTTCCTCTCTTTGCTTGCTGTTGTAATGGTAGAAAGCAATCATTTAAATGAAAAAAATTTGTAGAATATGATTACAATGCTGATGAACATGTCATGTGTGTGTACCATATGTGAAGCTAGATAGCATGTTTTGTTAGTAGAACTGACGGATAAAAATGTGTGAATTACAAATATTACATAGGGTATGATCTATTAATACATGATATTGAGTACATCATTTTAACATACAGGGAAAGACTAGTGTATGAATATGACAGCAGAGGAGATCTACTGGTAGACATAGGCTGTCATATAGATATATAATATTTACATCATTTTACCATACAGGGAAAGACTAGTGTATGAGTATGACAGTACAGGAGATCTACTGGTAGACATAGGCTGTCATATAGATATATAATATTTACATCATTTTAACATACAGGGAAAGACTAGTGTATGAGTATGACAGTACAGGAGATCTGCTGGTAGACATAGGGTCTGACCAGACATCATGTCACAACCCATTCCTTGGTGGTTACTACCCTGTCCAGGTGAGCTTTCTCTGGACCCCCCCCCTCTCTCTCTCTCTCTCTCTCTCTCTCTCTCTCTCTCTCTCTCTCTCTCTCATGGCCTATCTCACTCTCATTTTCTCTCAATCTGTCTCCCTCCCTCAAAAGCCATTCAGTGATATTCCAGACTTCTGGATTTGGCAGAAACTGTATCAAAGTATTTGTTTATAAGATAAGAGCTTCCACTCACGCTACATTATGAACAGTGGTCTCGCTAATTGGCAGGTCAAATATGGCGACCCACTTAATTGCTTGCCATCTAATCCGCTAACAGAACTGAATATATTCCCCGTGGGGAAGGAGCACAAGTGTGTCAGCCATATTTGACCCTCGGATTAGTTGGTCCACTGTTCTGAGTGCAGCCTTAGTTTCAGTAGTCGAGGGGGGGGAGGGTGTCAGGGGACACAGTTACACACTTGCCAGTGTTAATTCTATTCCAGTTGAGCTATGAAGACAGCAGAATGATGATGCACTCGGACCCTGTGAGGTTTAAAAACCTAGTCCAGGAAAGGTGGGTAAATGACTAAGAATTATCCCAAGCTTATTTTTACCTGCAAACATATGCATCATGATGCTTATACTGTGTTACTTATTGTATGCTGTCTTGTTGCTAGTACTTTCCTGTTTCCTTATTTTCATTTACAAGCATTGGTGTTGTCAAATTCCAATACTGTGATACAGCATGCCAGGTGCATATACTGTATTAGGAACTGAGTTTTATAATTGATGCCTTATTTGAACAATGTTGCTATTTGATGTCTTATTTAATGATAAAATAATAAGTTTTCTCATCCTATTGTATTTTATATAATCTACTGTTATCTACTTGATTTGTAATATTGAATTTCTTTTTGTTTGTCTTCATTGATTTTCTCTGTTTATTAATGTGCATCTTTCAGATATTGAGTTATCTTCTTTGTCTCTGTATGTTGTTGAGTTTTCCTTTTCCCCCTCGGTGTTTTAGCTTGCGCAGGCAGGTGGCAGCCATTAACAGACTGTCGGAGGCCGGAATGTATTTCTTTGATTATGGAAATGCCTTCCTCCTAGAGGCGTCAAGAGCAGGTAGTTGGTTAAGATACACAATTGCTGCTGGACATTTATAGCACTACTTTGATTTTCTTGGAAATGTCAGTACTCAATAGTATTTGATGAGGTATACCTTGGTTGTTAAGTGAAAATTAGTGTTTATTTCTTTAAGCAGTATATATATTAAAGGTGAAGCGTGCAATGTATGCCTGTAACAGAGGATGAGGAGCTGTTTTTATATTTTTTTCTGATTATTTTTTTATTTTTGGGCAAAGTTGTTATCTTTCTTAGAGTTGTTAAAGATATTGATTATTAGCATGGACTGTATTTGTTTATAAATGAATACAGTTATACTGAAGAACCCCGATGTTGACACCCTTGCACATGGTTCAGCTAATGGTTAATAGATGAGAAAAAGATACACACACACACACACACCCAGACACACACACACACACACACACACACACACTCAAGAAAATTATTTTAAATCTTATTTCCTTGCCTTTGTCTAGTCACTGCTATGTCAAGTGTTACCAAAAGTAGCTAGTAAAATGTACATCCCCTTATGGAAATCTCCTACAGGTGTCCTACAGGACTTCATGAGACTCCATGGGAATCCTACAGGACCCACTCTCTATCAGACTTCCTATAGGATTCCTATCTAGGAAATATCTCTAAAGGACCCTGTAGAAAATTCATGTTGGGGTCATTTAAAGCATCCTGGTGTTACTGCTGAGGTGTTATATACTTGACTAGGTGCTGATGTGATCAAAGACTCTGGAGGGCTCAATGTGAGATTCAGGTACCCGTCCTATGTACAGGATATCATGGGAGACATCTTCTCTCTGGGATTTGGACCCTTCAGGTAATTTCTGCTCATTGTGTGAATATGATCAGTGAGGCAGTGCCATTGTGTTAAGTATGACAGTGTCATTGTGTTAGAGGTGACAGTGCCATTGTGTTAAGTATGACAGTGTCATTGTGTTAGAGGTGACAGTGCCATTGTGTTAGGTATGACAGTGTCATTGTGTTAGAGGTGACAGTGTCATTGTGTTGCAACAACACTGGTATTTTCGATTAGACATTTTTAATAGCCCTAACATTTTGTTTTCCTCAGTGATTAAATTTTTTAATATAATCATCTTTTTTACAAATATTAGATGATAGTTCATACTTTGATTTCAGCACACTTTGACGTTATTATTATGCTGTATTTATCTCCAGATGGGTGTGTACTTCTTGTGAACCCAGTGACTTAGAAACCACAGATAACATAGCAGCTGCTGTCATGGAGGATATCGTCAACCAGGGGGGTAGGGGGACCATTTTACTTATTGTAACTCATTTATTATTTTTTTTTTTCAACACATGTTTCTACCTTTTGTTTTTTATTTGTTTTAATTATGTTTTCATACTGATTCAAATGAATAAGATAAATAAAAAACAGCAGAATCTGTGAGTAAACTGATATAATTCTGAACAGTACACCTAAAACAGCTTGTAGCTATACAGTCCATGTGTGTGTCATATTTTACCCATTTTAAGTGAACTGGCCAGGTTTGCCTCTGCTACTTATTCAACTTAGACACAATTCAAGTTTTAACTGTTATTATTTAATAACATGTCACATCTGACCTACCAGTTCATTAGCTACTAGATGTTTTTGATCTTGACACTTTTCATCTGTTGGGTTATTTACTAGTGCTTTATTACCCACTTTTAATATTTAATGAAAATGTATTATCTTGTTATATGTGGTTCAGTCCCAGAGACAGTTGCAATGCAGTACAGAGATAACATACGGTGGATTAAAGAGGCTGCCCAACACAAACTGGTGAGTGGATGCAGGGTTTTCTTAAGGGGGGAATGGGGTGGGAGAGGAGACCAAGACCGCCCCTACCCCAGGAACAAGGGTGAAAATTGGAAGCAGTAAGGGAGGTTGTGTGAAAGTGAAACTTAAATGTGCAGTATTGTAGTGAAAATTATCCTCACTTGCCATTTTTTTAAAACTGCCCCTTAACTATGTCCTTCATTAGAAGTAAAATTTCTTTAAAGTACATATTACATGTTGTTTATTGTATTATATATACATATTTTGTCTCAGCATACCTGTAATATATAGTTTATTGTATTATATATACATATTTTGTCTCAGTGTTCCTGTAATATATAGTTTATTGTATTATATATACATATTTTGTCTCAGTGTTCCTGTAATATATAGTTTATTGTATTATATATACATATTTTGTCTCAGTGTTCCTGTAATATATAGTTAATTGATATCAGGTTGTGGGATCACAAGCAAGAATCCTATATGCAGACCAAAATGGACGATCCGCCATTGCAGTCGCTTTTAACAAAGCCATCAAGGATGGAGCTATCCAGGTAAGACATAGTATGATGTGTTACTGTGTATTATAACTATGCCCTAAGACAGCATTCAGTGAAGGAAAATATGGGCTCCATAATAACAACAGCACAAAGAATGGTTTTACAAACACATTGTAATCTGATGATAACTGTTTAAGCACAGAAGACATACATAATGTCCAAGGGTGCATTGACAATGAAACATTGGTACTGGGTAGATGAATCCTACTCTGCAGATATACCATGGAGTTAGGTCAATCTACCTGGTATGACAGTTACATTGTGAATGCCCCCCCCCCCCCAAAAAAAAAAAAAAACCAACTAAGTGTAACTATCTGCCTAAGTACTCTCTTATTGCAGTTAAAACAGGTCTTACCTATTGTTAACTTTCCACATTAGCCTCCTTAAGTCTTCATGTCAGGAATTGCATTAAAGACATTAAGATGGATGTAGTTGCCTGTAATTAAGTATAATCTTTCTATTTCAGGGTCCTGTGGTAATCAGCAGGGACCATCATGACGTCAGTGGCACAGACAGTCCCTTCAGAGAGACAGCCAATATTTATGATGGCTCTAGTTTCTGTGCTGGTAGGCTGA